ATATTTACTTTCTGGTCAGTTACAGAAAAGGTTTGTTGACCCTGGACTAAAAAATAAAGTAAACAAAGTATATGCACGTGCACACACATACACTCACAATCACTGTACAATGAGTATGGTGGGAATGGAGTATGGCTCAAACAGAACTTCAAATGTTTCTTTATTCATTAACAAAAACAATACTACATAAAGCAAATCCATAAATGTTTACATTTGCCCATCAGAATCGTGAAAACACAAGGTGTTACTCTCTGTACTTTACTATATTCTTTTAATTCTTCCTGCCTCTTAATTGTCTTACACCGCACCACTCCCAGAACCATAAACTCAAAACCAGAGAGATCTCCAGTACCGAATACCATTTGTCCAAACTTGACAGTGGCCTGAGAAAGGTCAGTGTGAGAGAATGCAGCATCTCAGAGAGCAGCACAGGACAGGCTCCTCTGACACCAGGTGGTAAACGACCCAGCTAGAAGACCGCAAAATGGTGAGGAGGCAAAGGCCAGGCACTAGCATTTCTCTTTTCACAGGTTGTTTATGAGCATTTCTGGGCAAGGCTAGACAAAGAGGAGGTTGCATCCAGATAGAAGAAATTGCAGGGTGAACAGTGGAAATATTTAGAAAGCAGTCTGCTGCCAAAATTTAAATTAGAGCCTTTGCCTCAAATTGACTGAGATAGGGGCTATGGTGTAGTGGTATAGGTATAGTGGTGTGTATGGGCGTCATATGGAGAAGGGATGTGGTAAGGCTGGATGAAGAGAACATATTTTCTACTCACAGCACTGAATGTCCATTTTGTCTCAGCCTTTCAAATGTGGTTAACACCCCCTTGACATGCAGCACACACCACAGTTATCATTTTTAGGTGCTTAAAGCCCTCACACCATTTTTATATAATCGTTACTAATCCTACTCAGAATGGCCACAGCCTTTTCTCTTCTCTCCCTGTTCATGGATTCCTTTCTCATTTCTCTTGGCTGCTCTGTGTTTACCCATTAGACTGGTGACCAATTCAGATTAGCTCTGTATTTAGACTTGATCCTGCTCACACTCTTTCTTGGTGCTGGTATCATCAATATTTTGGATAACTCTCCTTTTAACAGCTCTAGACTAGAAAAAGCCTCAATCATTCAGCTGACAGGGTGCTCTTGCCCGGGAAGTGGGTTTCAGACAGAAGGAAAAAAGTGATAACATAATGCCCATTCTTGTTTAATGAGTCCCCTCAAAATGGCTCATTTCCAAGATTCCATGGCAGAGGTCTTTCTTAACAAGTTTCCAGCCTAACTCAGATAACTAAAGACATGACAACTGTTGACAACACTGTTTTTTTCCTCCCAAACTGTGTTCATCATGCAAATACAAAGATGTATTCCATCCTATAAATGGACCCTTATCTTTTTAACTATCAATGTTGTCTCAAATATAGCTTGATCCCTTAGGCTAGACAATCCATAAATCATTTTTATCTCCAGCTTTCTGAAAGGCATAGGGTTGATCTCTACAAAGCACAGATTTTTATTGGGAAACATAAAATCATCTTAGGGAAATTTAGTTCAAGACTCTAGGGCACCTACCAGGCTCCTGGTTGCCTTATCTTAGAGCAAAGGTAGACAGGTTTCAGATAATTCAGATGCTGCAGCTTCTCTGATCCAGCACCCTGTTGGAAATCCATATCTTTATTTATACTCTCATACTTTTCTCTAGCACAGGCACATCCTTCTGAGAATTAACAGACACCTAGTCCTCTGGGAACAATGGCCCCACTTGCTTCATCACTGTCTGTCCATAAGGGGTTCTCCTAAGGAAATGCAGAAAGCAGGCATAGATTTAACTCTTGTGATCCTGCTGCCCATCAGGTGCAGCCTTTGGGGAGAGCCAGTCTCAGACATTAGTAAGGCAGCCTATATCCAGCTGTGCTTCAAAAACATGCCATAGTAGACACTATCTAAAACTATCACAGACTTTATATAAAATTCTGCCCACATATCTGTTCTGTTTGGTCATCACAATGTCTAATTTTATTTTTAATGTGACTGGATTTAGATAGGTCACAAGCTCTCAAATGTATCACTGACCCCTCATTTCCTCATCGTTCTATATGCCGTCCCTTCACATTTATTGGCCACGGAAGGCATTTAATCTCACAGAACAGAAAGTAAAGCCCAGGGTCACAAGCATTCTTGGTATCTTGGACCCTCGAGTTCAGAAAAGAATATCAATTTTTATTCAGCCCTAAACTTTGAAGATTAGAAGTAAACAAAAGGTATAATTCTGGTGGCATGTTGTAGGAGAGAACATGTTTTTCAGGTAGAGAATACAAAATAAGATCTAGCAAAATATCTTAGGCTGGAAACAAAATAAGAATAGATAAATGAATCAGTGTTGATAAGCCAACAATTATTACTCTGGCTTCAGGTTAAGACAAGACTGGATGTGCTAGAGATGATGGGTGCAGTCAACAAGTTAGGTCAGGCAGAACATTGGAGAAAAGAGACCTGTAATTTGATTTTTCACATTCTTAAAAAAAAATACAAGATATAATCTCTCACTGATAATGGGCAACCAAACATACCATCATGCTCTGTTTTGATTAAAGTATGAGATTATTGAGGCAAGATGATCAATGGAATTCTGGACAAAGTTTATCTTATCTTTTAATGTTTAGCCAACAGCAGCAGTAATTGATTCTGAGTAACTTGACATGGCATCTTGTATTTACATTGAATATGCCACTAGGCATGATAAAGGGCAAATAATTCCACCTACATAAGATCCGTGTTGCATTATACTGATGTGTGTTTTAGGATTCATTCTAAGATGGAATGGCTGTATTTAAAGCATGCAGAGAATCAAGAGTTTTAAGAAAAAAAAAAACAATTGTTGAAGTGCTTTTTGTATATTATTCAAAAAAGCACAACTGGCTTATTCATAAATTTTTCTACATTAAATCTGAACTTTTAAAATTGTATGCATAGTCTGAGTAAGTATTTTATTGAGGTCTCATACTTCTTGCAAATAAGAATAGTTGTTTACATACATTATCTTACTGTATCTTGAAAAACATCATAATTTATGTAGTATTAATATGGACTTACAGATAAGGAAATTAACTAAGCAAATATCATATGACCAACAAGTTGCATAGTTTGGACTATTGGAGACACATCTAGGCACTTTGGGGACAATAACCCTATTCTACCCAAGCACTCATTCATAAATGGTTTTACCTCTACTCTGAGATAACTAATGATTAGATCTGGAGCTGCTTCTGAATTAAGACCTTGACAATAACCTTTCGAATCTGCTTAGTCTTCACACTGTAGATGATAGGGTTGAGCACAGGAGGGATGAGCAGGAAGACATTGGCCATGATGGTGTGGACAAATGGAGGTGCTGAATGTCCATAGCGATGGACAAGAGACAAGCTGATGAGAGGAATGTAGAAGATGGCAACAGCAATGATGTGGGATATGCAGGTATTGAAGGCTTTCTGCCGTCCCTCTGAAGAAGCAATGTTGAGGACAGATTGGATGATCAGGACATAGGAGAGCAAGATGCAAGGACAGTCAAATCCTGTTGTGGAGAAGAGTGCAAACAGACCAAGGATGCTGTTGATTCTGTTGTCTGTGCATGAGAGTTGAATGAGATCAACATGGTAGCAGTAAGAATGTGAAAGGACCAAAGAACTGCAGAAGGATAGCCTCTTGACAAAGAGCACAACTGGCAACATGACAGCAACATTCCTTATCAACATGCTCACCCCAATCTGGGCAATCCTGGCATTGGTGAGGATGGTGGTGTATCTCAGCGGGTCACAGATGGCCACAAAACGATCAAAGGCCATGGCCAGCAGAACCCCAGACTCCATGAAAGTAAATGCATGGAGAAAAAACATCTGGGCAATGCAGGCATTTAAGTTGATCTCTCGAGCTTCAAACCAGAACACACCAAGAGTGGTGGAAAGTGTGCACAAGGACAAGCTCAGGTCTGTGGCGGACAACATAGAAAGGAAATAATACATGGGCTCATGGAGGCTCTGCTCACGGATGACCACAAACAGGATCATGCTGTTCCCAGACAGGGCAGTGACATACAGGAGACAAATAGGAATGGAGATCCACACCTGGGCTGCTGTCAGGCCTGGAATACCCGTCAGGAGGAACGTCAGAGGCTGATCATTGGTATTATTGAGGAACAACATAATGAGGGACTGAGAAGACAGGGATATTTGAATAATTGAATATGACACATAATGAATACATATAGCTTATCACTTAGAACATCTTTCTGGCTCTCTGAGATTCACTGAATTACTATTGCTATTTTTCCAAGAGCTTTAGTATTTTCTGAGTTTTCTGGAACTACAATCTTCTCTCCTCACCTCTCAGTACTTCTCATTTGTTGAGAAGTTTCCCTAAATTATTTCACATCAAATTTTCTTAAGTCTATCATTATCTTTTTGGTGGCAGCAAACATCACAATTAAGTCATCCTTGTCAATAAAAGTTCCCAGTAAAATACATAAACAATATGATGAGAAATCTAGCTTTCAGTATTTTTTGAAAATAAATTATTGATCCTGGAAAAAAGCACCAAAAAAATCAAGTCTCATTTGAAATGTGGATATTATTAAGTTTTCCTGAGATATACCCAGAAGAATGCCAAAGTTATCTACAAGACACATATGTATGTTTATATGGTAACAGTCTTGTCCAAAGAACCACTCTAAGAAAAGTAAGTATATGAGTATATGTGATTTCTCTCAACATTTAGGCAGTGCTTTATAAAGATAACCTTGGGAGATTATTTAATTGTTGAGTTATAGTTTCTTCTTATAAAAAATGCATATACTACTACCTATCTCCTAGAGTTGATGTATGGACAAAATTATATAATGCATATAAATAGCAATAATACAGGAAACTCTCAAATATGGGAGCTACAAGTATATGACCTCAATGCCTTCATTCAATAAGGCTGGAGGATGTGTGGGAGGAATCTCTACACCAGTCTGACAAATGTCCCTTACAAAGGTTTTTCAGATGTGTGCTTTCAGAGATACTTTTTGGTCAATGTGGCATCTTTGGAGTAGAGTCCTAAAGTTTTGATGTTGATTCCATAGAAATTGTGCAAACATGAGGTTCTTTAGGCTTTTTGGGAAAGGAATCTCACTGATAGTCTCTATATACAAAGGACCCAGGGAATCAAATGTCAAAGTTACACCCAACTATGTGAAAACAACATCAAATAGAACTACTAGATTCGGTGGACTCATTTTAGTGATCAATTTATCCAACACTAACATTAATTATGCTGATGAAACTTTCTTTCTGGAAATTTTCTCTCCCCATGTATTGTAGGGCACAAGTCTCTATTATTTTTCTCCCACCATTCATTTGGTGCTTTCTCTGCCTTTTTTCTCCTAAGAACTTTAAATATGCAATTCAAGGATCTGTCCTTTGCTCATTCTCAAGACATTTAAATAATTATATAATCCATTTTCACAGTTTCAGCTTTCACGTATTTAAAGACAAAATTTAAATACACACCCAAAAGCCTTCCCTGGTTTCCAGGTTCCTGAAGACAGAACTTCTTTCTGGACATTGCCATATGGAATTCTCATAGATAAATAAAATTCAATGTGGTCAAAACCAGATGAATCGTTTTCCTTTATAATTGTTTTCACTCCTATGTATTTCACCTAAAACTTATAATTTTCACAAAAATTAGCCCATTATCTAAATCAGAATTCTGGGAGTTATCCTGTACATTTTTATCTTTCTAATGCTCAGCATTCCCAATTAATTAACCAAATGCTTTCTATTCTATCTCTAATATCTCTCTTTCTTCTTCTACCTCTTCTTTATTTATGAAATAATCTCTTTCAGATTTTCATACTGTATAATTTGGACTATTAAATTAACCTACACATAATA